TGGGGAAAAAATACGTGAAAATCGACAATATACTTCGAAGTTGAGTCATTTATTTTAACAGTGAGTAGATCTGATCAAAAGAAATGTTTTTTTCCTTTACCATTTTCCTGGTAAAATTAAAGTAACAAAGTTATAGCCCTTTGGAAGTTTGAGTACCGCCCTGTCTCAATAACAATATTATGTGGTCGTGTTTGGCGACAACGGATATAATCCGCCGTATCGGTTCATCGCATCGGAAACAAAAAAGCGAAAGAATTTGGAACGATGTTTTTACAAGTATCTCATTCATTTGTATACAGTCAGTGTCAGTGAATGGTGGTATCTGTTGCGTGGCTCAAACGAAATAAAAAATGGCACATGTTTATGCGGATCGGTTTCCCAAACGAGTGCAACCAACCCCTCGTGCCTTTGTTAATGTAGTACAACGGGCTCGTGAATCAGGTGACTTAAGACCTCAGAGGGGACCTCACGATCAAATACAGGTCCGCACTGAAATACTTGTCGGGAGGATACTTTATAAAACAAGGTAAAATTTTTTTTTTATTTTTTTTTTATTTTTACACACATATTTTGGTTTATCTTCCTTCTACAATCATTATCTGAAAATTAATGACTCAACTTCAAAGTCACCCTGTATAGAGTAAATGCGCAAAAATGCAAATAAAAAGTTGTAACAATCACACACACAGAGATAAATCGCAAAAAATAGTTAGATTAAAATTGTACGTTACCAAGGGTACATCGGGAGGCAGTCGTGTTCTCCAGGCGGCTAGTGGATCTCTTGCGATGTTTCTAGTAGTCTGTCTGCAGTTGGGTGGCTGCTGCTCGCTGTGTCCCCTGTTATTTTCCTTCTTCTTGTTGCTTTGTGGTTTCTTACTTGTAGTTTTCTTTCTTCAATAGGTTTCTTTCTTCTTAAGGCTCGTTGGTCCTTTTCAGCTTAAAGGATAGGCATCCACCACACTAGTTAGTATGCACGTGTTCTAATGCGTTGAAGCTATCCCACTTTTCTGACACCAATTTCTTAAATCATTAGATTTAGAAATAACTTTTTAAAAAAATTTATTTGAGGACTGAACCTTCAGTCCATATAAAATACAAAGGTTTACAAATGTGACATTTACGGAGTTTACATAAGTGACTGTTACGGTGCCTAGCCGGGTAATGAACGACATGAAATGGGCGCAAGGCCTATTTATACTATTGGTGTGCTTACAAAGCACCTCTAGAAAATAAAGCGTAAACAACGAGTTAGCGAGAAGTCGTTATCTGTTGCTGAGCTAGCGTCTGGTGCAACATTGTATGGAATAGTAAGTCCATTGTTTTGAGTGCATATAACATGCCTGCCTCCTGAAGCTTAATATGTGATTGTATTCTGGTACTGTTGCTCCGATTCTCAAAAATGTTATGGAAGATAGTAATTTCAAGCCTAGGTCTTGTAGTTTTTCCTTTAAAACTGCGTGTGGTATTGTTGGGCAGACGTTCGATAGCACTAACCTGTCCGATGGTGAAATTAATTTACGGGCCTTAATTTTTTCTCCTTGTATTACAATTTCCCCTGGGTTCTCTACGAATTTATTTACTAATTCCTTGCTGGAAAGGTATATGCAAATTCTGTTATTGGAAATTCTAGAGCAAAACAAAATGTTCTTCGGGTCAATCATTGGTCCTAATTGGAGCAAGTAGTCTTGTATTCTTCCTCCGTCTATGGAATTGAAAACTATAGCTTGTTCTTTAGTTGGATGTTTATATGTAGTTAGAATTGTGGAATAGTGTGTGGGTTGGTTAATGGGTGTTGATGTCATTGTTGCTAATGTTTTATATCAGTAAGGGAAAATATCATTTCTGAATACGGACCTGTTCTTTCGAGGTCCAAATTCTGGACGCGTTTTTTCCGAACGCTTGAGATTGGAATGTTGAATAATTGATCCACTGATTTACGTATGTCTTCGGTATATAGCACAATATTTCCTACTCACAATGCGTCCTGGTTCGTGATTTGCACTATATGGTAGCAAGTCGAAAGTTGTTTATGTTATGGTTCACTTTTAATATGGTAAATTCACGAGCTCACTATCAGATAGACTAACTGACTCGGTAGCAGGACCGAACTCCAAAAAAAAATATCTTAAAATTGCTATATAATGATTTCTTGGACAAAAATTTCAATCAAATATTTTTTTTTCGCAATTATTGACTGGTTCGTTATTAGGTAGACAATTAGAATACGTTACAAAACAAAAAAATTCACAAAACTATTTTTCCATATAGCAGTTAAACCTTATATATAAATTCGTAATGGACCATTTACATTGATCAGAAAAACTTTGGATTCAATTTTCGATGTTTCAAATCAAAATTGACAATTCCCATGATTCTATAAAACGACTCACGGCTCATATTGCGTTCAATTGTTGCTGAAGCGAACCTATAAAGACATAACATGCCTTTTTCGTTTGCCCCGAGAAATTGAAAAGTTGCTAAAGCGCTAAAATTTACATTTTGACTTACAAACTCCAAGCGCGTATTTAAACCGGATTATTCGATCTAGAATCCTAAAATTTCACAAAGTCTCATACCTCTATAGGTACTTTCCAGAAAAAAAAGCCCAATCTGATATATGACCTGCCAAGCCAAGTCGTGGAATTTTAATTTTGACCTATATACACTTTAACCAAAGAAATACTGTGTACTTTTCCTCTCTGTCGCGCGTCTTACAACCTCTTCCCTTCAAAGTGCTTGGTCAACAATTTTTAGATTAAATATCAACTCTCACACCTTTTCGAAATACCCTGTATATTTCAAAATACTTTCAAGATATACTTTTCATCAACTCACATATTTCTGTATAGATAAAGTTTCTTAAAAACCCTACCATTTAATCATAACAGACTGTGACACCAAAGATGAAAAATATTATATAAATATGAGATATTAACACAAAATCTTTTTTTAACTATTTAAATTAATTTCTTATCACTATCGCAAAGAAGTAATATACATATATACATATACAGGGCGTCCGCAAAGTTGGGGTTTTCCTTTACACGACGTGTAGATCTTGAAAACATAAGCAATTTTTCTTAGTACCATATATACCAAAGGGAACCGAGATAAAGGGCTCTGCAACATCAAAAATATCTGAATACCGTCCTGTAGCCGCGACCCGGGACAGATTGGTCTCAACGCGACGGCAGAACTGGTTCGGGGTCAGTGTGTCAGGTCAGTATGCAACCTTCAACCTGTGGTTACGGTCACGCATGTAGAGGTAATCGCGTAGACGAGAATCTCTAGAGACGTGTCTAGAGAAGCGCAAGTATCAAAAGCTAAAGTGTGGCAAACGCTGCGTGAAGAGGGGCTATCCGTTTCACGTCCAACGTGTACAAGCCCTTCAACCTGACGATTTTCCAGCAAGAGTGCGGTTTTGTGAGTGGTTGTTGCATCAACATGACAATAATACGGACCTTTTGAAGTGCATATTGGTGACAGACGAATCTACGTTCACGCGTAATGGGGTGAATAACTTTCGCAACACTCATGTTTGGTCAGTAGAAAATTCGCACGCAATTACGCAACATTTTGCCTTCCTTGTTAGAAGATGTGCCGTTAAGTGTAAGACAATCAATGTGGTTTCTGCGTCTGCTCGGTAGCGCTTCAGCTGATTTCATTTTCTGTTGGAGCGGTATGATTTCGGGCAGAGACGTACTTAGCCCTTCTCGTCAACTGGAGAGTGAGTACTTTTTCCTTTATTTTTTTTACTTGGTCGCCCTCGTTTCACTACACATTACCTTTGTTATTTCAAGGGTAGTTGTTTCTGAAAAGGAAAACCCCAACTTTGCGGACACCCTGTATATACATATATATATATATAATTCATATCGTTCATCTGTTTTACCTTTTTCTACAATGCTATTTATTTTATCCACATACAAAGAACAATAATACATTAGAAACCAATTATTTCATTTTTTTAAATCAATTATATTATTAATAAATTTTGTATCCCTTTTATAATCAATTTCCAGGTACAAGGAGAAATAAGACATCATATATCAAATAATTCGACTAATATTTCAAATGAACACAGACAATATGGCAATTTATATTTTTTGGAAACTGAACTGGCAAATCCACTTCGGTCTGTTGGTCCACAAAATCGAGCAGAATTAAATCGAGAAATCGTCGACCTCATCTCTAATTACTTGTACAATCACAATCCATTTGCTCAAGCATATAGATTTCTTAAGGATGTCTATCAATAACAACAACAAAGCAATCGTCATCCAACATTGGAATTGTACATCAATAACAACCGTGCTCGGGATATCAATTTCAGACAATATGGCGCGGTACAGGCCAATGAAATAGCAGCCGTATTTATTTCTGAAGATGGGAGACCGCCCCTGGATCGTGCTTACATGTTTATTGTCGAGACAACGACTAGACTATCCACAAATTACCATATCTTAGTGTCAATTGCGATGCAATGACCTATCCTCTATTACATCCAAGAGGTGAAGCAGGATGGCAGTCTAGAACACCACATCAATATAGAAGAGGCTATATACATATCGTTACTGGAATATTATAGTTTCAGAATAGCTGTTCGACCAAATACCTTCAACCAATTTGTAATGGCAGGCAAGCTAACACAACAGTACATCGTAGATGCATACGTAAAAATCGAACAAAGTCGACTACAATTTATTACTGAAAATCAACCACGTATTAGGCAAGAAATATTTCAAGGATTAATCGACTATTTAGACTCTAGACAATTAGATGTTCATTATCAACCAGGAAATATTTTCATCCTACCGTCGACATTCATAGGAAGTCCACGCGCATTTAGACAAAACTATTTGGATGCCATGTCTATAGTCACAAAATACGGGAAACCAGATATTTTCCTAACATTTACTTGCAATCCTGCATGGCCTGAAATCAGGAAATAACTTAGATGCAAATCAACATTCCTCAAATAGACCTAATTTTGTATCCAGAGTGTTCAAGAGCAAATTAAAGGAATTAATAGAAGATATTGATAAACGACATATTATGGGAGTTTATGTTGCTTACGTTTACGTAATAGAATTTCAGAAAAGAGGACTTCCGCATGCGCATATGTTGATTTGGTTAGAAGAATCAGACAAAATATTGGACCCTGCAGCAATCGACCGTTTAATTTCAGCAGAATTTCCCGACCCTATCGCGCATGCCAACTTGCACGAATTGGTCAAAGTACATATGCTTCATGGACCTTGTACCAGTGCTCGATGCTTAGATGAAGAAGGACATTGCAGCAAACAATTCCCGAAATCTTTGCGTGAAGATACCTTATACAATCCCTCTGGATATCCGTTATATAAAAGACGGCCAATAGAAACACCTATACATATAGGTCGAAGAACGGTAGATAATAGTTGGGTTGTACCATATAACGCTTATCTACTTGAAAAATACGAAGCTCACATTAACGTGGAGGCTTGCTCTTCAATGAAAAGCGTAAAATATTTACTTAAATATATATACAAAGGATTTGATAGAGTTCAAATTGTCGTACGAACCGTGGAAGAAGACGGTCAAACAACAACTATCCAGGAACCTATGTACAACGAAATTCAAATGTTTCTGGACGTTCGCTATGTTAGCGCGCCTGAGGCGATGTGGAGGATTTATACATTCGAAATGCACGATATGTCTCATGCTATTATTAAACTCTTTGTACATCTTCCGAATATGCAACAAGTCTATTTTAATACAAATAGTACCATTCCTGACGTCGTAGAAAGGGCCGCAACACAACACACTACGTTAACAGGATGGTTCGCCTTAAATACCCAAGATGAAGAAGCTAGACAATACACATACGTACAGATACCTTATAACTATGTGTGGAAAATAACACAAACAAGAATCTGGGTAGAACGTCAACGTCATCAAAATATCATTATCCTTGGTGATTTAAATGTAAATTTATTTGCCGATAATACCTTACAACAATGTTTGGATATGTATGGTTTCAAGCAAATTATTGATGCTCCCACTAGAGTAACTAATAGTACAGCAAGTCTTCTGGACCCTATTTTTATTAATACCCCAATTACTGTCACTAACTGGTTTACTTTAGATGCTAATTTGTTGTCCGATCATAAAATTGTTTGCTGTATCTTAAACATATCCCGTGTGAAACATGAACAAAAAATGATCACCTTCAGAGATTTCTCACACTTTGATGAGCAATCTTTCATTGATGACCTGGCTAGAGTAAATTTTATTGAAATGTGTTATATGAGGAATATTGATGATAAAGTTCAATTTTTCAGTAGCAAGTTAATTGACATCTTCAATCGTCACTCTCCTATTAGGACGGTACGCGTGAGTAAGCCGAAAGCGCCGTGGTTGTCATATCCGTTGAGACAGCTTCTGAAGCAAAAAACGAGAGCATATTATTTATACAAGATAGACAGAAGTCCAGCAAGATTGCAGGTTTTTAGGGAACTTAGAAACCTTGCACTATCGTGCATTAGACATGAAAAAATGGCGTATCTTGCTCACTTGGAAAAAGGGCGTGATCAGAGAAAATTGTGGTATGAATTGAAAAATATGAAAGCACAAACATCTGATAAGCCATGTTATGTGCGGCAAGGACACATCCGTTCCAGTCTGGTGGTAGGTTTATTTTAGTTTACAAAGTGGACTGTATTTGATTTGGAAAATGAGTGACAATACAAATTTCTTGAACCTGTTGATGCGTTCTATCTCGACTACTTCCTCTTGGTCGCGGCGCTTCGATCTCCTGGTGTCTCCGTCCCCATTGGCTGGATTCAAAAACTGCCAGGCAGCGCTTGCGGAGTGGTCGTGGCTGGTACACAGTGGCTCGCGCGCCAAATGACCATTGGCGTAACATAGGCCGCCCCCTTGAAAGCCTCCAGGCTTTCAACACGATGAGATGCTGTCGTCGTCTGGAAGTGGAAGAGCACAAAGCTTGACTACTGGCCTTTTGTACTCTCCAGTTGAAGTTCTTAAGGTAACAGTTCGAGTGATGTGGTCTGGTCCGGGATGGAGTTCAGTTATTCTGCCGATTCTCCATTTCAATGGAGGGAGTCCGTCTTCTTTAACTAGCACCAGAGTGCCGATCTTGAGTCTTTGAATGAAGTTCTCCTTCCACTTGGTGCGATGCTGCAGATGTGAGACATATTCTTTGGACCACCTGGCCCGGAAGTGCTGCGTCATTTTCTGCAGTCGTTCGAAACGAGATAATTGGTTTCCAGGAACGGTTAACCAATCTTTGTCTGGTGTAGCCATTAATGATTCGCCGATGATGAAGTGCGCGGGTGTGAGAGGAGAAGGGTCTGAGGGGTCGTCTGATAAAGGGTAAAGAGGTCGAGAGTTCACACATGCTTCAATTTGAGTCAATACCGTATAGAACTCTTCAAAAGTTAATAGCGTTTCACCGACAGATCGTTTTAAATGGTGCTTTACCGTTTTGACTGCGGCTTCCCATAGCCCCCCAAAGTGAGGTGATCTAGGTGGTATGAATGTCCATTTAATACCATCAATGGCTAATTTTTCCGAAATGGCATCAGTCCGCTGTAAAATGAATTGTTTTAGTTCTTTACTAGCACCCACGAACGTTGTTCCATTGTCTGAGATTACGTGAGAGCAAAAACCTCTGCGAGAAGTAAATCTTCTGAAAGCAGCGAGGAAACATTCAGTTGTGAGGTCACTAACGATTTCAATGTGAATTGCCTTAACTGCGAGACAAACAAATAAAGCAATGTAAGCCTTGGATAACTTGGAGTTACGCGTCTTGCTGAGATTAATAGTGAATGGACCGGCAAAGTCGATTCCTACAGATAGGAATGGTCGCCCAGGAGTGACTCGAGATTTCGGCAAACTTCCCATCAAGTATCTTTCTTGATTAAGGCTAAAGCGAAAACAAGAGATACATTCCCGAATAATCTTTCGTACAAGCCTTTTGCCGCCGATAGGCCAAAATTTTTCTCTGATAGATGCTAGAAGACCTTGACATCCGATGTGTTTTAAACGTTGATGTTCATGTCGAGCGATAATCACGGAGAAATGATTATTTTGGGGTAGGACGTATGGATGTTTCTTATCATAAGGATAATCAGATATTTGCAGACGACCGCCAACACGAATAAGTCCATGCGAGTCAACAAAGGGAGATAAACTAAGAAGACTGCTTTTAGAGCAAACTCTTCCGTCCTGGGTTAGCTGTTGAAGATCGATAGGAAAGGAAGATCTTTGAACTATCCTTATAAGGTATGTTAGAGCATTATCGAGTTCAATAGGTGTCAAGGGGCCAGTTAGCTGATGCTCCTTTGACAGAGTCTTGAGTTTGAACCTGCTGATATAGCCAAACACCCGAAGCAACTTAGAGAACGAAGAGAACTTGATAATTACAGAAGAGAGATGATTTTCTGTTGTCGAGAATAATGAAGTGATCTTTTCCTTGCGTTCAAGGAGATCAAAGCTATCGTTTATTGGGCTATCTTTAAAATGGGGCCAATTCGACTGTTCCCGTGACAGCCAAATAGGACCATGAAACCAAAGATTGGAGGTTAGAAAATCTGACGGAGATATTCCGCGCGACAACAAATCTGCTGGGTTATCACTTGTATGGATATAGTTCCAGGAAACAGGATTAGATAAAGCTTGAATTTGAGAAACTCTGTTCGCAACAAACATTTTACGAAGATGAGGTGATAATTTCAACCAGCATAATACAATTTTCGAGTCACACCAGTAACAGATTTGATCGAAATTCAGCTTCATGGATTCTTTGACAGTTGATACGAGTTTGACAAGGAGAAGAGCTGCGCATAGCTCGAGCCTGGGAATAGTAACCTGCTTAAGTGGAGCTACCCTAGTTTTTGCACAGAGAATCTTGGTATGAAAATTTCCTTGAAAGTCTACGGATCGAATATACACAACTGCTCCGTATGCCTTTTCAGAAGCATCTGAAAATCCATGAAGTTCGATAGAGATTGGTTTGTGACATATCACGTGTCTAGGAAATTAAACAGTGTTCAATTCAGAGAGCTTTGATCTATAATCAAGCCACGTTGTATAAAGCTGAGAGGGAATGCTTTCATCCCATGAAACTTTGAGTTTCCACAAGTCTTGCTTTATTAGCTTGGAGGTGATAGTGACAGGCGATAGGAGACCTAATGGGTCGAAGATTTGCGCTATACATGATAAGATGTGACGCTTTGTGATTTTTGAGAGGCACTAGTCTCAGCTATACAATAAGTGAGAAGGTCCAGCGTCGCATTCCAAAATATGCCCAAAGTTTTATTTTGCTGATCTGCACCGATTTGTATAGTCTCAGAATTTGCGAGAATATCTTTGTGGTTTGAGGACCATTTTCTCAAAGGGAAACCATGTTGGTTGAGTAAATCTGTAAGCTCTGCCTTCAAGGCCAAAGCCTGATCCACCGTCTCTGTGCCCGTGAGAAGGTCATCTACGTAGAAGTCTTCAATAATTACACGACAGGTTGAAGGATAAGCTGTCTTATGAATCCGAGCTACTTCATGTAGCGAACGAATCGCAAGAAATGCCGCCGAGGCTGTTCCGTACGTGACAGTGTTAAGTTCAAATGATTGCAAGTCTTTGTTCCGATCGAACCGCCATAAAATCTTTTGCAGATGGCGCTGATCTTCTCGAACCAGTACCTGCCGATACATTTTGGCGATGTCGGCACCAAGAACAATGCTGTGCTTCCGAAAACGAAGTAGGATCGAGAAAAGATCATGTTGGATAGTAGGGCCGATCATCATAATGTCGTTGACAGAATAGCCCGAGGTGGACTTGGCGGACCCGTCAAAAACTACCCTTAGTTTAGTCGTAGTACTATCATTTTTCATGACACAATGATGCGGCATGAAAAACCCAGTGTTGTCTTGATTCCGGCACAATGACATGTGTTTACAAAGTGGACTGTATTTGATTTGGAAAATGAGTGACAATACAAATTTCTTGAACCTGTTGATGCGTTCTATCTCGACTACTTCCTCTTGGTCGCGGCGCTTCGATCTCCTGGTGTCTCCGTCCCCATTGGCTGGATTCAAAAACTGCCAGGCAGCGCTTGCGGAGTGGTCGTGGCTGGTACACAGTGGCGCGCGCGCCAAATGACCATTGGCGTAACAAGCCACGTATTCCAAACCATCTTGCAGACTCGTTCCTTGCAAATAATTATTTCATATCAGTTTTTGATTCCTCAAATGCTCCTGATCACGTTTTACGGTATTATAACGAAAATGTTCCCCATATTAATAAATTTTCTTTCAGGCTTCTAGAGCCTCATGAAGTAGCTGAAATAATTTCTAGTTTTAAGTCCGATGCAAAAGGTACTGATGGGTTGAGCTTGTCTATGATTAAGCTCAGTCTGCCTGTTACTCTCATCTACATCACCCACCTTGTTAATAGTTGCCTTGAAAGAGGTTATTTCCCTGAAACGTGGAAGCGAGCAATTGTGGTACCAGTTCCAAAAAAATCAAATCCAGATGAGTTTGCTGATCTAAGGCCTATAAGCCTATTGCCTTGTTTATCGAAGGTAGTTGAAAAGGCAGCCCACATACAACTAATGCATTATGCAGAGGAACATGTCA